TAAATTGGATTACATGTGTGGTTGAGATAAGCACTGGAAGGGAAAAAATCCTATTCTTTATATACTAAAAATGATAGTGGGTCAATGATTTAGGTACGAAGTAGTAGACAATACAATTTTAGAAAATAGTGTGATAAATTTATTTATAATTTTAGAGGAGGGGAGGTCTTTTGAAACAGAACACAAAATCCAGAAATTCTAAAACAATAATTAAATTTGACCACATGAGATTTGAGAATTTATATATTATCAAAAAAATGCCATTTATCTAAGGACAAATGGTACTGGGGAAAATTTTTCAACACAGATAACACGTTTCATTTCTTAATTCATAAAGAAGTCCCATAAATCAATAATTTATAGAAACTGACAATAAATATATTTTTAAAGATGCTTAATTTCACTAAATATAATAAAATTCAAAACCATGAGATATTTTTCCACTCTTTAGAAAGGCAAATTTTTAAAAATTTTTATTTATTTAAAATCCAGTTAGTTAACATACAGTATAAGATTAGTTTCAGGTGTATAATACAGTGCTTCAACACTTCCATATATCACTCTGTTCTTATCATGATAAGTGGTGTCCTTAATCCCCATTAACTATTTAACTCATCCCCCAGCCCACCTCCCTTCTGGTAACCATTGTTTGTTCTCTATAATTAAGAGTATGTTTCTTGGTTTGTCTCTGTTTCCCCGCCTTGGCTCATTTGTTTTGTTTCTTAAATTCCACTAGAAAGGCAAACTTTTTAAAGGTGATGACACCCATTGTTGCTAAGGCTATGGTGAAAAGAACATTCCGTGGGTCATTAAAAACCTATAAATCAATACAAACTTTTAGAAATTCAATAGAGTAATATTTTATCAATATATAAGGTGCACAAACTCTTTGGTTCTGCAATCTTGCTACTAGGAATTTGTGCTACCAGTGAACATGCAAAAGTTCACCAGGAATCGCAACAGACACACACACACATACAGGTGTCAGTTGTTGCAACAGTGGTAATTTTAGAAATGAAAAGAAAGGAGAAAAACAGAAATAGTCAAAGTGTTAATCAATAAAAGATTTGTTATGCTATACTTACATGATTGAGGGTTTTATAAAGCCTCCTATAAAAGAATATTTGTTACATTAATTGGAAAATCAAAAAAGCAACTTACAAAATAATACTTGCAGTAGATTCTCTTTCTTATGAAAAATAGATATGCATAGTATTTCTGTATTGGAAAAAGAATGTCAGGAAATATAGCATACATGCTTTCCTATCATTTAACCATTTTCTGAGCACCCATACATTATTTTTACAATCAGAAAAAGATTATCTGAAGTTTTTGACTTCCCAGTAGAAAAGAGAAAGGCAATGAAAGTCTTTGCCCTTGTATGCTTTATTTTGAGCAATAAACAGTACCTAGGGCCCACGTCATAGAGCTTTCATAAAAATTAAAGATTAACTGATTATAACTCTTTGGAAGTGCTACAGTTAAAATAATCTAAAAGCTCTGTTTAGGATTTGGCTGTGGGAATAAGGTATACTCCCACTCAATCTAATCCATTCAACTGGTGCTATTTGCATTGCCTCATTCATCAAACGCTGCCACCCAATATTGCTTAATCCAAGTGCGTATATAAGTAGAGTTGGAATATAGCATCAACCACTACCAAAATGCTGACAACAAGAAACTTCATTATTTGAGACGAGCCTTTCATGTTCATAACTAAGGTAAGGTATCAGAACCAGTGTGCAAGAATATTTGCTTATATTATTGGGAAAAGCAGCATGAAAGAACTAGTGATTTTTATACTGCTATATATTCTGAAATATTTCTGACTTAAAAATAGGAGAGTAGAGAGTAAATTTCAAGTCTGAAAAAATGGTGAAGAGTGCTTGTATTTTTTTTTAAGATTTTTGTTTACTTATTTGACAGACAGAGATCACAAGTAGGTAGAGAGGTAGGCAGAGGTGGGTGGGGGGAAGCAGGCTTCCTGCTGAGCAGGGAGCCTAATGTAGGGCTTGATCCCAGGACTCTGGGATCATGACCTGAGCAGAAGGCAGAGGCTTTAACCCACTGACCCACTCAGGCACCCCGTGATTATATTTTTTAAAGCAAAAGATTTGTAGATTGTTTAAAGAAAACACTTCGTTAAAAAAAAAAAAAGAAAGAAGAAAGAAAGAAAAGAAAGAAAGAAAGAAAGAAAGAAAGAAAGAAAGAAAGAAAGAAAGAAAGAAAGAAAGAAAACACTTTGTTTTTTTAGAATAGGATTTGGAAATATTTCCTGACTATTCTTTTTTCTGACTATGCTTTTGATTTATCATTCGATTCTTTTTTTTTTTTTCTTAAGATTTTATTTACTTATTTGATGGACAGAGATAACAAGTAGGCAGAGAGGCAGGCAGAGAGAGAGGGAAAAACAAGCTGGCGGCTGAGCAGAGAGCTCTATGCGGGGCTTGATCCCAGGACCCTGGGAACATGACCCTGAGCTGGAGGCAGAGGCTTTAACCCACTGAGCCACCCACATGCCCCTTATCATTTGATTCTTAAAAAGCAGCTGACTTTCTCTGTGTCAATCACTCCATTGTAAATGTGGTATTTCAGTTTCTTATCTATGTTGCTTAAATCAGAAAGCTAACTTTGGTTTAGAGCAGAATTCCTCCTCTAATTTGTTATCTCAAATTAGACCATGATAATAGATAGTCCATGTTAATAGGGGTGTTAATAGAAGTAGTGGGGAAAGTTACAAGATCAAATAATTTCCAAAAATAATTAAACAAAAGTACCCATGAATCTCCAACAAAAGACTGTCAACAACTTTACTATGCTAATGTGGTTCTGACTTCAAAAGAGGTTGAATAATATACATAGGAGCACTTCCCAGATTTATTTGAAAATGCAACAGTTTTTTGGTTAGGGGGTGGTTAATGTCCATCCAGGAGAACTTTTTTTCTGGGACATAAGGATTTTTGGATACAAAAGGAAACAGAGAAACAAACAAAAACAACAATCCAGCATTACAATTTTCATGTTATCAGTAAAGTGCTACCTGGATACCTACTGTGTGCAGGGTATTATTTGAACTATTTTCTGGAAACTTAAAATTTAACTACAGTAAGATTACCTAACTGCACATGTTATTATTACATATTAACTATCATATTTAGAAATTCATTATTTCTAAAGTTGGACAACTGGCCAAGCATTTGAAGTTAAGTTGCCAGTTCTGATTATATTCTTCCTACAATTGAAAGAGGGAGAGAGGAGACATGGTGCAGAAGCTCTGGCATAAAGATGGATATCAGTAGACTAGACTCTCACCCCAGTTTTGTTTTTGTGATCCTGAGCAAGGCACTTCACTTCAGTCTTAGCCTACTCATCCATAGATTTAGAGGCTCAGGAAAATTACAAATGACATCTAAGGTTCTCTGCTCCTAAGCGTTTTTCTACCTTTGAAGATTCTTGCTCATGAAGCCAGTTGTAAATAGGATGGTTGTGTATAAGATTCTAGTTCCATCTAAACAAGAAAATTTGGAATTTCAGTTCATTCAAGGTTGTTCAGAAACAAAAATAAAGTTGCGTGAAGTTTATCTTTCATGGGGTCCTCCAACGTAGTAACCAAATGTTCATCCCTTACCCTGCTAGAAGAGCTGATTCATATAAAGTTTGTAAGAGATTTAAATAGCAATCACCTCTGGAATACACCAATTTTTTTTTTAATCTAGGAAAAAGAAGGCAAGGCTTAATGCAAGTAGGAGTAAACTATTAGTAGAATTTCAAGCAACGTAAGGGAGAATTTAAGCTGGAGAAGTCCTGCTCCCTTCACAAATCAAAGCACCACCACCTTACCTTGATGATGAAGCCAGACAATGGTACCCTACTGAATGAAAATGGGATTTTCTGCAGTTTATAAGAGAAAATGCAATATTCTTTCAATAAGGTACTCTGACCCAGCTTGACATTCAAGGCACAGCATCCATTGATGATCCTTGCTTGTATCAAGTATTACACTGAGGGTTTTTCTAACTCTATCATTCATTATGTAATGAATAAATCCCTTGTTCATTCATTCTTAAGGAATGTTATGGACTGGTGGGTTTCTTTTTGCATTAAATGCTTTATAGTGAATTACCAAAAAGAAATACCATTCTTTCTGATGCTCAAATTGTGCCAAATTTGGCCAGTGAGAAACCCTTTGAAGGGGATCCTGTGTTCTTTTGACACAAACTCACAAGTTTTTGAATGACCAACTGCTTTCTGGCATAACTGAATATTCCATATTCGCTTTACATTCTCAGCCCAAACCCAGAGAGTCCTGGTTCCTTTTAGAGGAAAAAGTATTTAGAGTCTAAGATAGGGGCACACTGATAGTACTGATTCAGATTTAACATTACAGAGATTTTCCCGTGGCTTTTTATATTTTTTTTTTTTTTAGATTTTTATTTATTTATTTGACAGAGAGAGATCACAAGTAGACGGAGAGGCAGGCAGAGAGAGAGAGAGGGAAGTAGGCTCCCTGCTGAGCAGAGAGCCCAATGTGGGACTCGATCCCAGGACCCTGAGATCATGACCTGAGCCGAAGGCAGCGGCCCAACCCACTGAGCCACCCAGGCGCCCTTTTTTTTTTTTTTTTTTAGATATATTTTTTTATTTGTATCTCCTTTCCCTTGCAGTAAAAATCCTACAGTATCAACACATCTACTTATTTGCTCTGTTTTATAATATAGTAAAAATATTTCAGAATCCTATATCAATATTACCAACAATAACCCACTATGTAAAGGTTTTTTTTTTTCCACTATGTAAAGTTTAATACTTCTTTGTAGCTCTTTTTGTCCTCTGACTATATTTCAATATGGATATATTTTCAGAAACTAAATTCAAATTTTACTGAAATAATTGTTTTCTTTATGTGGCTATGTTATTAATGTTATTTTGAGTCAGCCACAGTTGTTTCTGTTTATTTTAAAGTTGAGGCATTTGAACTAATATTACATTTTAATCCACAGAAGCCTGAAAAATGAAGACTAAAATGAAGTACTCAACCACCAAAATCTCTCCTGCAAAGATGAACAGTTCAGCAAGCAAGGCTTTGGTAAAATCTCCCAAGTTGAGAAGTAAGGACTTAGCATTTCTGATTGTTTTACAAACTATTTTTATCTGTTATCAAATTCTTCTAATGTTCATACATGCTACCTTGGCAAAAGCTACTAAGAATACAAGAGCTGAAATTAGAAGAGATAGCTCATAAGTTTGTAATACAGCAGTGTTTGTTTTTAAACAGACTATACATAGCCAACATTTGCTTATCTGATAAATCTCAGGACAAGAATGGTTTAAGTAATTTAAACCCTTTAACAGTGATAAACATACATAGTCCTTCATATCGATCCCTTCTCACTACCCACACCTTATTCAAATTAGTCCCAAAATCTTTTTCCTAGATTAATAAAATTTTAAACGATCTTCTTTTATCCAACATTTATTGCATATAAAATATACATCTTTGATGTATCAAGTTGTGGTCTTGACTTGCAACTTCTGAAAAAGGAGAGAACAGTAAGAGTGAAGATATTTGAATAATCCATGCCCCAAATAAAACAGAATTGATCAAATGATGCTCAAGTCTATCCAGTTGCAAACTCAAAGAATTGGGCATAAATTGAAGGGTAAATAAAGTCAGGTAGTAGCCATAGCTCTAAGACGAAAGAGCTATATCTTTGATCCTGAAAATTATCCAAGGGGGCAGCTGGGTGGCTCATTCAGTTAAGTGTCTGACTCATGGTTTCTGCTCAGGTCATGATCTCAGACCTGAGGTTGAGATCAGGTCTCAACCTGAGGTCGTGAGGTTGAGCCCCACAACAGTTTCTGTGCTCAGCAGGAAGTCTGCTTGAGATTCTCTCCCTCTGCCCCTTTCACCAGTGTTCTAAGACCCTAAGCAATAAAGCAAAATAAGTAAATAAATAAAATAAAAGCTTGTTTTAGTTCCTTCTCCTCCTCCTTTGGGCTAGCAGGATCTGACACAATCACAAAGCCAAAAAACTCAATATTTACCCACTAGAAATATATATACACAATCAGCCTCCATATGAGTTTAGGTCACCACCAGAGTACTTCATCTCTAGATCAACAAAATACAGGACTTAAAGAAATAGAGAAAAGCCCCTCCCCAAACTCATTCCCTTCCTAGTTTCCAGGAAGCTACTCCCAGAGTCAGGCCATCTTCCTCTGCTATTCCTCTCCCCTAAATCCATTAACATTTTCCCTGCTCTGACAATCCAGTTTCCTTATGTATCTAGCCAGAAGTCACAATATGGGAGCTTTGGGACAGATCCATCCAGCAGAAGCTTTTGATTTGGCCTAAACAGTACTATGGTATTTTTTTAATTGAGGAACTATTTAAAAATTAGACGATTGTGCATAAAAATCTGAATCTCTTGAAAAATCAGAAAATCTAGCAACACTGGACACATATCCCTACATGGCAATAATTGGGCATAGAAATAAGTAAAGGTCACACCCCTTAACTTGGGCCTATCCATAGAATATCTTCTAAAGTTACAGTGACAGAACTTCAAATTTATCCTATGGGCAGTAAGCAACCATTGAAAACATTCAATTGGGGAATAACATGATATTTTTATTTTAGAGAGATCACATGGATGGTGGCATAAAGATAGAGTGAGGGAGCAAGAATAGAAACCAAAACTGCTTAGAGGTCTACTGCATTCATCTAGGGGACTGAGAATGAAGGCCTGACCTAAGACAACAGAATGGAAAAGAAGGACTAAAGGTCAGATACATTCAGAAACTGAAATCAATAAGATTTAATTACAGACCAAATAAATTGAGGGATGGACAGAAAGGGAAAAATAAATGATTCTCAGCTTTCAGGATGACTTAAGATTTGGGCAGACAGTGGTAGAAAGTGGTACTGTTTTTCAAGATAGATTGAAAATTTCAGGAGGAAAGTACTGTGGGTAGAGAAAAATAAATATTTTTTTTTTATTATGAGTATTTTTTGGATTTGGGGTAAGTATAGGTCAACCGGGTAGAGATATCCAGAATTCTGGACACTCTCCATAAGTAGATATAGAGATGTCTGAAGCTAACTGAAGTGAAAATACCTTGTGGGAAAGAGCAACAGACACAAAACTCAGGAGAGAGACCTAAGGTAGAGTTACTTTTTCGGGAGTCATCAACATACAAAAAGATGATTGAAGTCATTGGAGCAGGCAAGATTGACCAGAAACAAACTCTAAAGTGAAAGGAAAAGGCAAAGGACAAATCCTGCACAACACCAACATTTTAGGAGCAGTCAGACAAGGAAAAACTAACAGAGTAACAGAGATGGATGATCAGAGAAAAACAAGGACCTAAGGAAACTGGGGACATGAAAATAAGGGAAGAATTGTTTCAGAGAATGATGTGGTTCCAAGTCAAATGCCACAGATAAATCAAGGGTAATAAGCAGTGAGAAGAAACCTTGGTGAAATAGGTGTTTGGGAAAGAAATGAAAGATGAGTGATTCATTTATGTAGTTCCTCTCAGTCATAGTCTGGCTCTCTCAGTGGCAGAACTACAGGAAGAGTTCCAGGCCACTTCCCATGTAGTCACCAGAAATGCGTGAGGGATTTCATCATGCTGTTGCTATGATGAAATTACTTGTGAGAATTTCCTTATAAGCCATGTTGAGACACTACCTTCAGACATCAGGCAAGATAGAGACATAGGAAATGACAGCAGTCCTTACATAAGCTTAAGATGGGCCTTTCACCCCAGTTAGCATTCTCTCCCACAGAGTCCCCGAGGCCATGCCATATTTATATTTCCCATCCGAGACCACAACCATCACACCACACTTTCAGCTGCTGCAAACACCAAAGTATACCTTCTGTTAGGTCCCTCAATAATGGGTCCGTGATTAAAGGAGCAAGACTAATACAAAGCAAAGGTCAAGCAAAGCTTTATTTCGTGCCAAGCATCAAGAATCAAACTGACTGGCCAGGCCGCACCTCTTACAGAGAGGGCGACCTCTCTCTGTTTCACAGACTAGCTTTTAAGGGCAAAGGCCATGCAGTTGGGCCTGGCCACCCACAGGTGGCCAATGAAATTGTAACACAGAAATAAAGCTGCACAGTCATGCTAGGTGACCAATTGAATTACAACTTACCTGAGTAGATACTTGAATTAGCCTATCACCTTGGTCAGAATGGGCACCCAAAAGGTGCCCAAAGGGTGGGGCCCATACTCCTTGGTAACTAGGGAGACAGTATGCATTCCCCCACTGGTCCAATGTCTCCACCTGGCTTGACCCACCCTTGTATTTGGGCTTTGTTACCTGGGGCTGTTTTCCAGGACTTGTTTTTGAGCAAATCCCTTGGGGGAAGGGGCACAGGGACAGTTTAAGGGTTAAACAACAAGGTTATTGTTTAACCTGGCTGGAAGCCTCTGGCTAAATAGGTCCTTACCCTTCTTCCATATTCTCCCAATGTGAAGTATCTTAAATACTTTAAATGTGGTCACCCTTTGAAACCCAGTGTTTGTCCCATTAAATGCAAGCCCCTATATCAATATCTTTAGCCCCTTTCTTCTTCTACACCCATAATACTTCCTTAATATAATGACACTTACTTCTAGCTACCCAGGACCCACATCCTGCTCCTCAGAAAGTCCATTTTCCATATTAGACATGTCTGTCAGTCATTCCCATGGGATTCCGAATATAGCATAAAGTATATAAGGAGTGAGCATCCTTAAAATATCATCTTATGCCCTTTATGTCTGGAGAGACAATGCGATACAGTTAATAAAGTATTGTATTAGATTACTTTTTAGGAGACCAGGTTCAATGCTGGCTCTGGCATAGCTTTATAAATTTCTTTGCAATTGTAAAAGCATTACATAAAGGTAAGATACTATAGATGATATTTATAAGCTGTGATGCAATGTTGGGAAGTTCCAGGGTAGAGGTGAGTATAATTAAGTGGCCTCACCTTGTTCAAACAGTAGAAAATACTTAAATGAAGGTGTCCATCTGAATTGGAGGCAAGATATAGATAATTCAAAATAGTGCCTAATGAAAGTTTACTCCACTTAAATTTGAAAAGCATATCAGGAAGGCAAATCTTTTAGAAAATTTAAAAAAAAAATCATAGAATGGGTCCCAAAGTCACAAGTAACTCTTTTCATTTTTTGAATTACTATAAATAATTGAAATTTGGCTGTATTATACAAATTGCTTGATAATTCATTTGCTATAATGTTAAAAGTTTAGATGCCATGACTCAAGAGTTATGACTCTCTTTTCTATTTAAATTTAAAGGCCTTTTATGAATTTCCAAATAGCAAATTTAATTTTTACTTGAGAACTTTTCTTTGACTAAGTGAATAAAAATTATTAAATAGGTGATGATGTCCTTAACTGATATAATTTGTATTATGTTAGTTCACAAAATTGCAGTATAGCACACTAACATTTGATGAGGGAACCAAGAATACTCAAAGAAGAAATTAAAGTCTCTTCAGTAAATGGTTCTGGGAAAACTGGATATTCACATGTAAAAGAACTCACAAAAACTAACCTGAAATGGATTAAAGATTTAAATGTAAGACCTGAAACCATGAAACTCCTAGATGAAAATATAGGGGGAAAAGCGCCTTAACATTAGTCAGTTATTTTTAGTATCAATAAACTCAGAAACTATAGCTATCCTTCTAAAATTATTTTTAATTTAATTTTATTTTGTGTATGTGTGTATTACAAAATTCATTGTTTATGCACCTCACCCAGTGCTCCATGCAATACATGCGCTCCTTAATATCACCACCAGGCTCACCCAACCCCTGACCTCCCTCCCCACCAAAACCCTCAGTTTGTTCCAAAATTATTGAAAGTTAATTCTAGATAAGTAAGAAATATTATAGATGTCATATGACCATAAAATTTCCTCCTCAGGTGAAGACTGATACATATTGGATGTAGACCCACACTCCCTTATATAGAATTGGACAACCAAAATTTTTCTAGAGACCTAAAATTTTTCATAACTCATTTGGTAATAAGAAATTATCTGAACCTCCATGACAGTTAAATCTTTTTTTTTTTAAGATTTTA